CAGATGTAATGGCAGAAAACTTCCCAAGCAAGGAAAAAGAATTTGACATACAGAAAAGCGAGGCATCCTGAAGCCCAAATAGCAACGGTCAGAAAAATACTACCCCAAGGAATATAACAAAGATTCCAGAAATGCAACACAAGAACAGAATATTAAAAGCTATTATAGAAAAGGAACAAATCATCTATAAGGGAAAGACCGCCAAAATCACAGTAGGCTTCTCAACACAAGCCTTAAGTCAAAGAAAGCTGGAAGTATTTCAAGGCCTAAAAGAAAACAATCTCCAACCCAAATCAATGTACCCTACAAAACTATGTGCCAAAACTGATGAAGAATAAGATACTTCCATAATAAAAGGCATCAGAAGAATTTCATGACCACCAAATCAGCATTCCAAAAAGTTCTTAAGGATATTCTAGAAAGAGACAATTCAAACAATAATTCCATGAACCCCAATAGAATGAATCCATAAGACAAGGAAACAAACAACAGGAAAGTAGTATCACAAGGTATAGCCATCACTGTAAATGGTCTCAATTCACAAGTCAAGAGAAACAGATTGTGGGAGGACCTGCCCATTAGCTCAGTAGTTTAAGTGCCTGCTTAAGCGAAGCATTCAGGCTCAGGATGCTGTGGTTCAAACCCAGATACTCCCGCCAAACCAGAAATGCCCTAAAGCCATGGGGGGGGACCTCAATAAGGGCTGGGGAGATGGCTCAGTAGAACAAGCACTTCCCTGGCAAGTGCAAGGATCTGAGTTCAGTCCCTGGTTCCTCAAATGAAAAAAAAAAAAAAAAAAAAAGAGAGAGAGAGAGGCAGATTATAGAACGGACCATGAAGCAAGATCTAACAATATGATATATACAAGAAACATATTTACCCCAAAAAGAAATCCATAGACTGACAATGAAAGGACAGGAAAACAATATGCAAGAGGAACCCAGAAAAAAGCAAAGATAGCTGTTGTATTTGAAGACAAAGTGGATTGCAAGCTGTCACTGACCAACAGAGCCAAAGAAAGTCATTACATACTTGTTAAAGGAACAATACTAGAGGAAGAGATAACAATCATAAGTATATGTGCACCAAATACTAGCATATGCAACTAGCATTAAAACAAACATTAAAAAAAAAGCATTAATGGACATGGAAAATCAAATAAGCCTTAATGCAAGTGTAATGGGGGACCTCAATACTCCACTGTTACAAATAGATAAAGATCAACTAGACAAAAAAAAATCAAAGAAGTATCAGAGCTGAACAAAACCTTTGAATAAATAGATTTAGTAGATAGCCATAGAGTGTTTCACCTCAACATCAGAACACACACTCTTCTCAGCTGCACTTGGGGCTTTCTGCAAAGTCAACCACACACTAGCTCACAGAGCATGTTTATATAAGTGCAAAATAACTGAAATTATCCTGCGCCTATTATCCGAGCGTAGTGTAATGAAATTGAAAAATCAATGGCAAAAATAACTATAAAAACTGCGTAAATCAAGTAATGGTTCTAGACCACGAATGGATCATAGATGAAATTAAAAAAGAAATTTGAGGGCCGGCCAGAGAGCTCAGTGGACTAAAGCACCCACTTAGGCAGTCACAGGGACTGGTGTTCAATCCCCAGTGTGCCAAGCCAGCCCTGCCCCCAGGGCACAATGAGACTGGGCATGGTGACATGCACCTGTAATTCCAGCACTTTGGAGGCTAAAAATAGGAGGATCACTACAAGTCTGAACTGTGTAGTGAGACCCTGTAGACCCTGTACTAAAAATACAATTAAAAAAAAGAAATTTGACAGTTTCTACAAATACAAAATGCCAATACAACATAACAGACCTGATAGGATACAATAAAAACAGCCCTGCAAAGGAATTTATAATAGTGAATTCCCACATCAGACAAACAAAGCAAGTTCAAATAATCTACTGTTGAATCTCAAACTGCTAAAAAAAAAAAAAAAAGAACAAGTTAAATGCAAACCATGTACAAGGGAAGAAATTATAAAGGCCAGAGCAGAAATTAATGCAACTGAGACTAAGAAAACAATACAGCTGGGATACAGCTCAGTACCACAGTGCCTGCCTGGCAAGTGTGAGGGCATGTCTTTGATTCCTCTTACAAAAAAAAAAAATCAATACAAAGAATCAATGAATTCAAAAGTTGATCCTTTGAAGGATTAAATACAATAGACAAACTCCTAAACAACCTTATCAAAAGAAGGAAAGGCTCACATCCATGCAATAATAAATGAAAAGGGTGAAATCACAACAGATCCTGTAGAAATCTAGATCACTGATACATATTTCAACAACCTTGTCTCAGTTACTTTTTACTCACTAGGACAAAATACCTGACACCCAAAATTAAAAAATTAAATTTCCTTCCAAAAAGAAGGAAAGCTCCCAGTTTGTGGAGCTTTCAGTCTATCCTCGGCTGGCTCCCAGGCAGAGTGGCACATGGCAGAGAGCAGCAGTTCACGGAATCAGAAAACAGTGAAGAGCCTCAAATGGAAGGGCAGCAGCTGCGACTTCTAGCCAGTCTCTCTTTCCTCCTTATACTGTAACAAACCAGCCTGGGGCTGGGGTGTAGAACTCACAAATGCCCATGCCCTCCTCTTGCACAGGATGAGGATGTTCACAAACTAAGAACTTGACTTTCTGCTGAGTCATTTAATTGTGTCTGCTGTGTCTCAAATTGACACAATGGATCAACCAGTACAAACCTGCACTCTACTAAGATGGAAAAAACAGAAGAAATTGTCAGATTCCTAGATACATATGAATTACCAATTTCAATCAAAAAGATATAAAAATTCTAAATAACCCAATAGCAGTCAATGAAATTGAAGGTGTAATTTTAAAATGACCACCAAAGAAAAGTCCGGGTCCTCATAGATTCACCCCTGAATTCTGTAAGAAATTTGGAGAAGATCTAATGCCACTATTCCTTAAACACTTCAGTGAAATTGAAGTGGAACTAATACTCCCAAACTCATTCTTGGAATCAAGCATTCACATGATTCTAAAACCAGAGAAGGATCCAACTAACAAAGAGAACTATAGGCTAATCTCCCTAATAAACATACATACAAAATCCTCAGTAAAATACTTGGAAACAGAATGCTGCAAGTTATCAAGAAAATTATATACCTAACCAAGTAGGATTCATACCAAGAATGTAGGAATGTCTGACATTTGCCAGTGAAGCGGAAGACCCAATACTATTATGGACTACTGGACTATTTTGCTGAGTTCACACACCTATAATATTTAGATGACGGGACTAAACAAAAAAAGGGGATACACATGAATGACCATTTTGTATCTGTGTATTCAAAATGGTTAGGATAGATATATAGCTACATTCTTTTAATTCAATGAAGAGAGGGATTTGTTCTAATAGTGTTTGTAAATAGGATATCATGTCTGCATCTTGTACAATTAACCACTAAGAAGACAGTATGCAATGTGTTAATTATTGGAAGAGTTAATTAACTCAATCTCATAAAAGTCATCTATGACAAACCAATATCCAACATCATACTATCTGGTCAAATACTGAAAGCTTTAAAAAAATTTTTTTAAAAATTAAAGCTTTTACTCTAAACATCAGGAACAAGACAAGGCTGCCACTATTACTACTCTTATTCAATATAGTTCTAGAAACATTAGCCAGAGTAATTAGACAAGAAAAAAAAAAAATACAAGGAATAACAATAGGAAAGGAAGTTAAATTATCATGATTTTCAGATGACATGATAATCTACAGATAATACCCCAAAAATTCTACCAAAAGACTCTTAGATTTAATAACCAAACTAGAAATGTAGCTGTATATAAAGTCAACACTCAACATTTCTGTTTACAAACATTTGTTTACAAACAACAAACTCACTGAGAGAGGAACTAGGGCAACCACACCGCGGGCAACCACCAAGTTGTGCTCTCCTGAGCAATGAAGGCCCTTTTCTCCATCTCTCCCTGACTTTACCTCAACCCTGTTCGCTGAGATATGCAACGCTGGCTATATTCAACTAGACATTCCCTTAATTGGCTAAGAGTGTGATGAGTCTGGCCAAGATGCCAAAGTGTTATTATAGCACACAGGCAAAACTTCTCCCCCCACTTCCCACTAGAATAGGAGCTTGGGCAAAAGCCAGTGAGATTCCTGGGCTAAGACATGAGATAACATCTCAGCTAAGGCCATGAGACACAGAAGAATTACACCTTCCTGGCTATAAAGGTGCCAGTTTCGCATCACGCTATCCGTTGTACTGATAGTTGGAAGCCTCTCCTGTGCTTGGCACAGAACTGCTGTTTCTCCTTACAGGCAATGCTTACAAACTTTCTCTCTCTGGCACCTGGCCACAACTCCTACCCATCTCCCTGACTGATACCAATAAAAGCCATGAGCTTTGAGACTCATGGCCTTTTGTTCCACAGAGAACATTTGTCATCCCAGAGCTCTTCATCTGCAGGAGTTTCTGATTGTCTTTATTTTGCATCCCTCTACTATATTGCCTGATGGGAGACCTGAAACCTCCACAGGGTTTCAGTACAACAGCTATCACAATAGCTCCAGAAAATGAAATACTTAGGAATCAATGTAGCACAGAAAGTAAAAGGTTTTTACATTGAAAACTAGTATTCTGATAAAGGAGATCAAAGAGGGTATCAAATAGATAACAGGAAAATGGAACAATATTGCTTGCTCTTGAATAGGAAGAACCAATATAATAAAAATGGGACACACTTCCAAAACTGTTACACAGATTCAGTGCAATTGTGATCAAAATACCAATAGCGTATCTCACAGAACTAGAGAGATCAATCCTAAAATTTATTTGAAATCAGAAGAGATCTAAAATAGCAAAACCAAATAAATAAATAAATAAAATAAAACAGCAAAACCAATTCTGGGCCACAAAAGTAAGGCAGAACATGTCACAATCCCTGACTTGAAATGATACTACAAAAATACCATGATAAAACAACGTGATATTGGCAAAAAACAAATCTGAGGATCGAAAGAACAGAATACACAAAAAAACTCCAAACATCCTCAACCACCTTATTTTTGACAAAAGGGCCAAACACTTTCACTAAAAGAAAGATGGCCTTGTTAGGAAACGGTGCTAGAAAAAAGTGGCTTGGCCTCTGCCAAAGACTGTATTTCTCACCAGACACTAAACTAATATGGAAATGGACCAAAGGCCTAAATATTAAAACAGAAATACTAAGTCTGCTGGAAGAGAGAATAGGTAAAACTCTTGAAGAGTTTTAAGCATGTAAGCAAAGACTCTATGAGAAAAACCCCAATCACACAGGAAATATTACGAAGAATCAACTAGGATCTCATCATACTAAAAAGTTTTTCCATGGCAAAAGAAAACACAGAATGAAGAGAAGTCCACAGAACTGGAAAAAAAAAAATTTATCAACTACTCCCAGATGAAGGACTAGCACCTAGAATATATACAGAATTCAAAAGAAAAAGAAAAAAAATCAGAATCATAAATACAAACCTAATCCAAAAATGATCATCTGAAATAAATGTTTCTTGGAAAAGGAAAAAAAAAAAAAAAAAAAAAAAAACCACAAACAACAGTGAAATACCTAAAAAAAATGTTCAGCATCACTGAACATTCAAGAAATGCAAGTTAAAACCATGGTGAAATTCCACACACAGAAGAATGGCCATTGTCAAGAAATCAACAAGTAACAAATGCTAATGAAGCTGGGGGGATCCTTCTCCACTGTGGGTGGGAGTATAAACTGTACAACCAATATGGAAATTCCTTAAAAAACTAAAACTAGGGCTTCTATTTGACCCAGCTATTCCCCTAATCAGGCCTGATGAAGAGAAGAAGGCATATGTTCGACTGGCTCTTGATTACGATGCAGTGGATATTGTCAACAAAATTGGGATCATCTAAACTGAGTCCAGCTGACTAACTCTAAATACATACTTTTTTTCCCAGTAAAAAAATAAATAAAAACAAACCCCTACAAAATTCTATCAGAATCATCTATAAAATGGCACAAGCACTAAATACCATAACACAAGAATGGGTCTGTCTCTTAGCTACTAACAAAAATTAGAAGATCATCTGTTCAGTTACTCTCTCACCAAAAATACTGCTGTGAGCTGCACTATCACCCCAAAGCAACAGCTCCACACCAGCACAACCATTCAATGAAACTACCTGTTCCCACAAATGGGTCGAAGACAACGTCATTCTCCTTCACTTGCCCGTGGTTGGCCATGATGAACGACAAGCCAGCATCCATGCTCGTGTTCCCAATGAAGTGTCTCTTCTTGACACTGTAGGACTGAATTAGCTCTCTCTGTCCATCAGCGATCTAGAGCAGAGATAGTTTTCAAATTCACAGGAACACACACAACAGATCTGAGACAATAACCCACAGTAGATCCGTCACACTGGCTCACGAGAACTTCTTCCTACTTGTTACTCTGAACTCATTCCTTTAATACAATGGGGTTGAGGTGTTCTTCACAAATACAGTGCTTTTTAATATCTTTTCATCTTTTTTTCCTTTTCAAGCCCAATATTAATTAAACTGAAATGCAAATTATCCCAGGGACAGTGGTGAGCCTTTGTCATCTCTTTTTTCTAAAGATTTTCAGTGTCCGCTCACCCTCTCATCGCTAAGGAGTGGGAGGACAGCTAGACAGCAACTCCACTCCCTCAGACCATAGAGGACTGAAGTGGAACTCCCCACAACCGAGCCATCTCACCATCCTGCAGTCCGCCCTCCCCTTGCCCACAGCCAGGCAGGGTGGTGTACACCTGTAATCCTAACACTCTGGGAGGCTGAGGCAGGAGAATCAAAAGTTCCAGACCAGCCTGGGCCACTTAGCTAGACATTGTCATAAATTATTAGGAGGGCTAAGAATGCTGTTCAGGGCAAAGGCCCCAATGCAAATCTGACAATTCCTGCTTTAGTTTAAATAGGAACACTTCCTTCTTCATAAAAATACAAAGCCAACCACAATTACATAATCTTCACCAATTTTAACCCATACAGCAGCAGATTCTTCACTTGTGTAACAGTTCTATAAAGTCAAACATAAAAGAAAAGCTTTCGGCTCTGGCTAAAGATGAAGATCCAGAGCAAAGAGCTCTCACACAGTAGGTAAAGCCAGCACTGGGCTACACCTCCAAACTGCACTTAAGACTTTTCTTGGCTGTTTGTTTGTTTTTTGGGTTTTTGGTTTTTTGTTTTGTTTTTGTTTTTGTTTTTGTTTTGAGACAGGGTCTTACTGCGTGGAGGATGGTCTTGAACTCACTACCTCGCCCAGGCCAGGCTCGAACGTGGAGCAATCCTTCAGCCTCCCAAGTGGTGGAGTTACAGGCATGTCTAGTGGTACTCATTTAGTTTAAAAAAAGAAAAGAAACAGAATACTTCCTCACCCATCTCCCAAAATAAATGTTATGTGGCTTCTCTGGGATGCAATTCGGGTCCAAACCATAGTCCTCCAAAATCGAGAATATATGTTGCGGCTTCTTCAGGTTCACTTTTCCTTCAAATGGCAGAAATTCAAGCGCCTAGAAAATAAAAACAGTTCTAATGCTCTCTAAAACCTTACAAACACAGGCACAGCAGCTCTCGTGCGATCATCATCGTACCTACCATGCCGATCTGGTGGGAGCCTTACGTAAGATAAAGCACGGAAAGTGCCTGGCACAAGGGCAGCCGCGCGCAGGCCCGAGGAGCTGGGCTCGCGCGGCGGGGAGACCGCAGCCATCCTCAAGCGCTGCGTGCCTGGGTTCACTTACATCTATGCGTTTGACTTTTTCTTCCTGTGTCAATGTTTTGTTAAATGTGTGGATTTTTATTTTATACGTAGACTCTGGGTGCAGAAATGGAACCTGCAATAGAAGGAGATCAGGGTTGAGCTCAGAAGCCCTGGGGACCCGCGCGCGCCAAGGCCTGGAGGACGCCGCGCTCGCTGCTCTACGCACCATCCTCTCCACCGGGTAACCTTGCAGAGAGCTGTGCAGCTCCTCAGCCGACTTTCCGTGACCCCACAGCTCAAATATGGACCTAGGAAACAAACGACGAGCCTCAGCAGGTCGCTGGCTCACGCGGCGACGCGCACCAGTTAGTTCACTAACCCCGTGTACCAGCTCCTTAAAACAATCGCTGCTGATTTCGTCCTAAGCTACACATGAGGAGCTGTAGCCTGGAAACATAGAAAACTCAAGTCCCCACACGCACCGAGGGCAGAGCTCACCCGGCACGAGCGGGCTGGGCCGGGCCGAGAGCACGCCCGGCACAAGCTGGAAGCCGCACTGGCGTGTCCCGACGCTGCGCTTCTGCGCTGGACCGGCTGAGGCAGCGCAGTCACAAAATGCAACATCCCACTTTGCCCAGTGTCCTCTCCAAAAAACATATGGACCAGATTAAGGCGGATTTGCTATAGTTTTTACTTCTTTTGGGGTTTGCTCAAAGTATTTCATGCTAAAAACAAGCCAAATTTCGATCCTTATTCTGCTACCAAAGAATTCTGAATTTAAATTAGTTTTCAGTTTAGGTCAATGATGGCGAACTTTTTAGATCTCTCAGCGATATAAACAGCCTGCTGCAGCACGCATGCTGTAGGTTACGGGTTTATTTTTATTCTGTTACAATGACAGTACAGAATAACCTTTAAAAACTGAATTCCTTCCAGGCACGTTGGCACACGCCTATAATCCCAGCACTCTGTAGGCTGAGGCAGGAGGATGATTACAAGTTTGAGACCAGCCTGCGCTACTGAGTTCAAGGCCAGCATGAACTGAATATGGAGACCCTGTCTCTAAAAGACAAAAAAACAAAAACCTGAATTCTTTTTTTTTTTTGATTGATTTATACAGCAAAGACCTCAATAGTAATATTACTCTAACTGAGCATATAGTATACTCTTAAGGTACAGCTCAATAAAGCAAGTTATACAAAGATTAAAAAGCAACTAAAATGTATTATATAATATTATCATAATATACAATTACTTGAGGCCGGGGAGATGGCTCAGCAGAATAAGCGCTTCCCTGGCAAGCATGAGGGACTGATTTCAATCCCTGATTCTGCCAAAAATAAAAATAAAAAATATAATAGTAATAATAAACAATTACTGATTTACCATTCATTAAATATATGCATCAGAAGATATGAACTTTATAGCTATAGATAATATGCCTATGTATGTGTGTGTATACACTTAGTATTCCAGTAGCTGTTTAATCCTAAGAAATTTTGTCTTTCTAATTCAAATATCTTATAGAGCCATAAATTTTAATATAAGCTAAAATAGTAATTATTCAGAGAATGTTTTTAGCTATGTTCTGATTTTTCTAGTCATTTTTATTTAATAAACAATACTCACTAACAAGATTCAACTCAAGGGGTCAGAGAGATGGCTCAGTGGAATAAGGGCTTCCCTGGCAAGTGGAAGGGCCTGAGTTCAAACCCCGGTTCCGCCAAAAAAAAATAATAATAAAAAATAAAATAAAAAGATTCAACTCAAAAGATTAGATTTAAGGCTGCAGGTAGACTGAGGGCTACATCTCAACAGCATGAATTCAGCTATGCAACTTCGGAAAGCCTGCCCTGAATAGGACTTTCTCTCTGCGTTCCCACGCTGAGTCCCTCCCCACTTACATTTTCAGCAAGTGAAGGTCTTCCCTGCAGCACCTCGACCCAATGGTAAATCCTCAGAACTGTGAGCTAATCCCAGCTCCTTCTGCACCCCTCTACCTTTGCCCAATATAAATTTGGAAAAAGAGAGTGAGACAGAGCTTCTCTTACTTGGCACACACTGTCCGTTTCATTAAGTTTCTTGCAATATCTTCAGAGGGAAGGCTGAGAATCCAAAATGGAGACTGAAAGAAATAGCAAAACCCATTTACCTCCAAGTGGCTCTCGGCCAGGTAGGCTTCGATTCACAGACCAGTGGGGCAAATTTTGCTCCCTTCAGGAGAGAATACCTGACCAAAATAAAAATCACTCTCACAGAAAAGATGAAATCCTGCCATAGGTTACCTTCTAGCTTAACAATGCAGTGTGTGGACACTTCCATATGTGACTTCATAAATGAAAGAACAGTAAGTTAAACTGAAATCTACTTGAGGTTAACTTAGCATTTGCCTTTATGTAGCTTGTCTGAAAGAATTAATGCATACTACACCACAGAATACCATCCTGGACGGTTTACCTTGGTCAAGCATTTCTTATCATACAGCCAGTTTATGTTTTTCTTTTCTTCTCAGTTTTTGTTTTGTTTTATTTGTTTGTTTGTTTTTGTTTTTGTACTGGGAATCAAACTCAGGACTTGGCACTGGCCAGGCAGGTGCTACACCACAGACCTGTATCCCAGCCCTGTATTTCTCATTTTCTAGGTAGCTGTGGCCACCCAAGCGGTGAGTAAGGAGTACTTTAAATAACAGCAATGGAAGTCAGTACATTCCCAATAGAAGCTTAAAATTCTGCCAAGTTTCAAATCAAAATACACCTCACCAAATGAAAATAGTTCTTTGCACAATGAAAGAACAGATATAAATTATGGTGAGATTGTCGAGCTAAAAACTAAAACTGGAGCTGGTGTTGTAGCTCAGAGGTACAGCACTTGCATCGCATGGGCAATGCCCTGGACCGAATACCACTACTATAAAAATAATAAATGAATAAAACAAAACTACGAATAAATTTAAGTTGCTTTCCAAAGCTAGCTTTTTCAAGTATCTTTTTCATTTAATTGCCTCTAGAAATAAAGACAAGTAATCACACAGGTAGAAATGTAAGCATTTTGGTTCTCTTCAAATCTAATGTTTTACTTATTTATAGGTATTCTACATATGGTCAACTAAAAGTTCATCTTACCTTTCCATAACTTTCCTGATTGCTAGTGAACTGACCTCCAAAAAGTGAGAGCAAAGACTTTATCTCCTGTTTTGAAAATATTATAGAGAGAATATATTTTAAACAGAGAACTCAAAAGTTTTATTAAGAGAAACAGGTCTACTATGATTAAAAGATAAAATAGAGTGGGCAATATCCACATGAGGCATTTAAGTTTCAAAATCAGACAACTACAACTCAGGATTCTGAACAATTTCTATAGTCACAACCAGAGTCTAGTAATTCCTGACAAATTTAAGCAACAGGAGAGCTACCAGAAAACACAATAAAAAAGTTGATGTCCTGATTTTGAAAAGTAAATAGCCAATTATAGGTACTATAAATTAGTAAACTGAAAAGCTGATCAATAAAAACAAAATGAATAAATTATAAAGATATTTAAAAACAAATTAACTGTCATGTGCAGGTACAAATTTTCTTTAATCATTGTGCTCATTATGTATATCTAAAATGTACCAATAAAATCTAATTTTAAAAAGTTAGAGAGCATCATTATATATCCGTTAAGCACAAAATGTTAAGTTAAACTTTCTTATCAACTGTACCACTAAAAACACAACAAATATTTAAATATATTATGCATGCAAAGTTGAAATCAGATGTGTATATTCTTTGAAGTAATTTCTTTGTATTGATAAACACAGAGGACTATACAGATTTTCTTCTTTTTTTTTTTTTTGGCGGAACCGGGGATTGAATTCAGGCCCTTGCACTTGCCAGGGAAGTGCTTATTCCACTGAGCCATCTCCCCGGCCCCCTATACAGATTTTATGATTTGTACCACTAACAAATTGTCTCCTTAAATACAAAACCAGAAGAATGCTCATACTTGGATTTCCCTGCTCCAAGGTTAAAAGGTTTGAGAAGCCTGAGCAACAAAAGCCTTTTGTATTTTTCTTTTGTCTATGCACCACATCATGTCCTACACGAGCAGAGGTTGGACAGACCCCAGCTAGCACAGATTATCAGCACAACAGTGGAGATAGCCCAAATGCTATTTTGCAACATAAGTAACACAAATTTGAACAGAAGCCATGGAGAGATTTACAAATCAAACTGAAGACCCTTTCAGCCTGAAGAAGTTAGAGCGCTCATCACCCATGGTTCCCTCAGGGCAGTTCGGGTTACTTCTTCAGAGGGTGGAATGTTGTAGGCAGCTAAATCAGATAGAAATATTATAGGCAGTCAGGCAGGGCCAGGCCCTCAAGGAGACAAGATGGAAGACAAGGTGGCTTTGCAACTTAGAAGAGAAAGACACTCCCATATGGGCCACAGCTCAAGACAAAAGAGAAAATCCAGCTACACACTTCCCTAGGGAGGGGCATCAGGGATTGATATTCTAAATAGGTATCAATCACCTTAAAAGAGCCCAAATGAGTCACTAGCCCAACCCCCAACAAGAAGAGACCCTGTCCCGTATTCATGCCCACTTGCTATGTGACTGACTTCCCCATTTGGTCCTGGGCTTAATCAATTTTACCTGAGCAATGGTGCTTATAATCCCATTGGTTGACCATACTTTTGTCCCACCCCACATGCACCTAAGCGAGTTCCCCCTTTCTCCACCTTAGCCCTGCATGTTTTAACACTATAAAAGTCCCTGGAAGAGACCGCTTCTGGGAAACAACCCACTGGGGGGTGCCCTCATGTCTCTCTCTCGGACAGCAGTTTTCTTTCCCTCAATAAATATATTCTGCTCATTAAAAAAAAAAAAAAAAAATTTTCTTTGCATCTTCCATACACTCACTATGATGTTAGTCATGAAACTTCACGTGACTTCAGTCACTGGTAGTTTCCTTACATGCAAAACAGCAAGCATCGCTCCTTCCTGAGGAGCACAAACTTGGGCTGTTATTAAGGAAATTAAAGGCAGGACACAGGAGAGGTACGATCTGTGGGCCCAGGAAGATCAGTCACAGCGCTTTCCGGGAGCCATTTAAGAACTTTGGTAGCCTCTGGGCAGCCTGCCGGACTCTACTAAGCTCTGACCTTCCTCAGTCCACAGCATGCAGGCCTGGAACTTCTACTGGTACAGCTCCAAACTTTTATGAATGTAGAACTCTTGAGTGGCCTGCAGGGCACAGTAGAGCTGCAATCTGAGGGCCCAGAAAGAGCAGTCATGGAGCTTTCCTGGAGCCATTTAAGAACTTTGGCAGACTCTGGGCAGCCTGGGGGACTCTATCGGGGTGGGCACTGTGAACTTCAAAAATGCCAAAACGCAGGAGCAAAAGGCAATCTCAACCCTCCAGCCCACCCAAAACAAATCCAGGAGACACAGACATACAAAAACTTGGAAATCACATACCTGAAATCTCTGAAATGATAGTAAATGAAGTGAAGAAACAAGTCCATCAGGCTATAGAAGAAATAAGAGCGGAAATAATTTTTCAGGTCCAAAAAGAAAGGTCAACAATCATGAAAGAATTGCTCAATACAGCTAAAGAAGACATAGATGGAAAAATAAAGGAGACTAGAAAAATGATGGAAACACTAAATGAACAATACCGGAAAGAATTTGAATGCATGAAACAGCTTCAAACAGAGATCCAGGAAATTAAGAACTGCATTGAAAGCTGGAAAAAGCCCTTGAATGAAACGGAAGACAGACTTTCCGACCTAGAAGTGTTGCAGCTAATAAACATGAGATAAAAGATCTCTTAAAACTAACAATGAACCAGGAAATAATTCAGCAGCTACAGGACAATGCAAAGAAAAATATAAGAATAGTAGGTGTCAATGAAGCAGGAGACAGCACAAGTGACATAAAAAGACTGTGTGTAGAAGTAATAGCAGAAAATTTTCCAAACATGAGAAAAGAACCTGACATAAAGACAAGGAAGGCATATAAAGCTCCACACAGCTATAGTCACAATAAATCTACACCTGGACACATAATAATGAGGTCTCAAGAATTCAGCAAAAGAACAGAATATTAAACGATAATATAGAGAGCAGAAACATATCGCCTACAATGGAAAGCCCTTCAGAATCACAGCAGATTTCTCAACACAAACCATCAAACCAAGAAGAGCTTGGCATGAAGTATTTCAGGTCCTGAAAGAAAATAACTTCCAACCCAGATTGATGTACCCTGCGAAACTTTCTATCAAATTCAATGGCAAAATTCTGCCATGACAAAGAACAATTGAAGAAATTCATGACCACCAAACCAACCCTACAAAGAGTACTGACAGATATTCTAGAAAGAGAAGTGATCACAGCTTCAAGAACAACAGAAAAGAACCACCAAACAAAGCAAGTAATTAAAAAGAGAAAAAAATTACAGAACCTATAAACAGGAAAATGACATGACAAAGATAAGCCAATATGCATCAGTTATAACCATCAATGTAAATGGTCTCAATTCACCAATCAAAAGAAACAGGCTAGCAGAGTGGATTGAGAAACAAAATCCAGAGCTGGCCAAATA